GCCGTTGCGATGTCGCATTCATGATGCGCATTGGTGGCCGCAGTGTGCGCGCTGACGATGTCGTAACTCAGGAGCTTTTTTGAGCACTTGCCCTTGCAATAGCATCACTTTGGTGGTTGCCGGTATGGTTTGTTGGGCATGATGCCAGTCTGCAGCTGAGGGATGACAGCAGGCGGCCGGGGTGATAGTACAGCTGGAGGCATACTGGGAGTGGTGACGCTCCATAATGCCACGTCGAAAACTTATCTGACAAGTATCCATGCATTACGAGGCTACCGAATCGAGAACTAGAGAACATGGTGAGAATGTCGAGGCAACATGCATGTAGTCTACAGATTCGCCGTCCTGGAGAACATGGGGGAGAATGTGGAGAGAATGTCGTGGGAATCCGCACATTCTCCGCATGTTCTCCCCCGCCAAAATCTGGCCCTTCACGCTGTGCTCGTGGCACAGGCACCTTCTCTGTCTCCCACCACGATCTATCCACTAGTCTTGAACGTAATTATGTGTGTCATCACTGCACATCCATTCACTTACTCTTCTGCCGATGTGGTCTTGTACTCCTCCGACGATGTCGCATACAAAGTGCACAAGCTCATTCTGACCATCGCCTCCGACTTCTTCCGCGACATGTTCGACCTACCGCAGCCTACCTCATCTTCCGACTCAGACTCCTCTGCCCCATCCACAGAGGAGCAGGTGGACGGTCTACCCGTCATCCGCATGTCGGAGTCTAGCAAAGCTCTCACCCCGTTGCTGTTGCTCTGCTACCCCCTGGAGGAACCCGTGCTCACATCGATCACCGAGGTGTGCGCGGTGCTCGAGGCCGCTATCAAGTTCGATGTACGCAGAGCATCTCAGATAGCGAAGCGTAGGTTGCGGGAGCTCATCCCGTCCGCTCCGCTGCGAGTGTACATCATCGCTTGCAAGCTTGGTCTCGAAGACGAAGCCCATACGGCTGCACAGGAGATCCACCGATCGAAGGTCCAGAACCAGTACGTGGATGAGTTGGAAGAGATCTCGTTTGGGGCGTATCATCGCCTCCTCCATTATTGCTCGGCAGAGGGTGATGCAGGCTTCGGCATGGTCTCCTTCTCTCCTACTAAGTCGGGCCCAAAACCGAAAAACCATAGAAAGAAGGCAGATGTCGACCGCAGCCGCGCGATCACCTTCACAGTGCCCGTTTCTACCCCTACGCCAGACGTCTCTGCCATAGGGTCAGTACTACACGTGTCGTCATGGACGATGATCAGTCTGACTCAGCTCCCCATGCTAGTAGCCCTAGTACCCCCGCTTTCAGTACCGGCGACGTCAACTTTGTCCTCTTGACGTCCGATGGGCAACGACTAGCACTCTCAGGGAATGGGATCCTGCACGCCTCTCCGCTACTCTCCGCTCTGGTGGCCCGCCGTTCGAACGTCGCCGAAGAAGTTCCCGTCGCAGAGCCCGCCGCAACTATGAGCATCCTGATTCGCATATACGACCCGTTCGAGCACCCACATCTCGCTGACATGCTCGACATTCATGCCGGACTCATCGCTGCTGAAAAATACGGTATGCGGAAGGCCGTCGATTTCCTACAAACAGCTCTTAGGTCTCAACAAGTAGGGACTCCGAAGGAATCCTTACTACTCTATGCCATAGCATGTCGATTCAACATGCGCGACGTAGCTCTCGTCGCTGCGAGAGGCACGTTGCGCGCCGATCTCACAAGAAACCTGTACCCCAGCATCGATACAATACATATCTCGGGAGGTTACCTTCACCGTCTCCTGGCTTTTCACCGCGAATGCCGCGCTGCTATAAACCCGATTTTCGAAAGCCGTGATTGGCTGCAAGATACATGGCTGGAGCTAGTGCGGAAGGCTTGTTCGCCGTGGACTGGCTTTAGGCCTCGATTCATTGAAGGAAAGTGGGCGTGCTGGTACGATCCATACATGAAAGCTGCCGCGAGGTCTGCTTCTTGGCCATCAAGAGAGTCAGTCATGCAAGACGACGTGTTATGCGCGGGCCTGGCCGGACAGATCTCTTCCAATATCTCGTGTTCTAACTGCACGCGAGAATAAGGCGCAGTCCTTCTCTTCAAGTTCAGTCAGCACGTTGCGGACACCATTACTCGTTTGGAGACACAGGTGGGTATATTTCACCTTATGCATCGAACGGTCTTGCATCCGAGTCTCATTGCCCCACTGAGTTCCCGATGTGCAGGTCGACTTGAGTTGGCCGACAGAGCGAAACGAGGGACCTAAGGCTACAGGACTTGCATAGACACAGATCAGTACGTAGCATGAGACTCCAGTCCAGAAACATGAAGTGGTCAGTAGTTGTTGTGTATATACTGTCTGACTCTCTGCTCTACGGGCGACAAGTATACATTCGCTGTGCAACCATGAGTCCTTCTCCCTTGCTCGCCATGTCGACTCAATAGGTCCATTATTGGCCGTAATCGAGAATCCACGCCATAGACCAGAACCATCTCCACTGACGGAAGTAAGGGCCGCATATGAATGGCATGAGAGCCTCCCATACCCGGTGGTCAGGCTTAGCCGAGGGTACGAGCTCTGAACGCCTCCTGGCGGTCACGTACTCAAACCACTCTGGATAAAATCCCGACCATCCCGAATCTATCAACCAAAGCCTACCGTCATCGCCTACAAGGATGTTGCGCATGTTGAGGTCGCAGTGAGTAAGCACCAGTGGTCTAATGTCGTCGAATGGCTTTGAGGGCATGGCCGTGCTAGCTGCGCCTGCTCTACGAAGCGCAAACGCACGAGCTGCATTGTATTTGGCGTTCCAGAATGCAGATAACTCGGAGTAAGATGAGAAGGGTCCGCGAGGAGGCCCTATTTCACCAAACATTGGGCATGGGCAAATTAAGGCCTTGGCGTCAGGAGCGACGGGCCGGGGACGACGGAACGTGGGTGCCTAATGGCGCGTAACTGCTGAATGTAACTGCGCAAGGTGAAGGCGACGCGAAGTTTTCCCCAGATAGACAGCGAAGGCCGGACTTGGGCAAGCTGTTGGCCAGAGATACGATCCATGACGAAGACGGAATACTCGCCTGAATCGTACCGGATGACACGACGAACGCGTGGGACAGGGATGGTTGTGTGATGGAAGACAAGATCGTACGTGAGCGCCTCGGACACGAACATATCGTGGTCGTCCCATATCCGCTTCGCAACGGTTGTGTCGGTGAGCGGCAATATGTGGTTGTCGCCCAGGTCGACACCGGCCTCAGCGCTGAGGGTCCCAGTGCGACGAGACCCGATGAGTTCAATGATCTCGTCGTTGCTCATAGAATCAAGCTCCGATGCCTATGAATATTCAGCGAGGTTACACCACAATCCTTAAGCGTAGTGCTAAGATACGCACTGCGAAGTCCGAAACAGGTCTTTTGGAGCGCGTGATCAGCCGGCATCTGCAATGAG